TTTTTGGTTTTTCTCCGGTACCGGGAACCGAACTCACGACCTTGCGCTTGCCAGGCAGGCGCTTTTAGCCACTGAGCTAAATCCCCAGCCCCCCCTGCTCTGCTTTTGACTTTGAGGACTTGGGTAACTTCACTCAGCCCTGATAACCTCCCAACCCCCAAAAAGGACTTCACTCCTGCTCTCAGCCCAGACACTCCCTGTGCTTCCCCTTTATTAATAGAAATTCCTTACAAAATACATTTAATCACACTTTATAAAATCACATTTGTTATGTCTCCCAAGCATGGACACAGAAAAAGAAAGCAAAGCTCTTTCATAACCTCACCTCCCAGGTAGCCGGTGCTTGTTGACACTAAAGATATTTAGCTGGGCCCCACTGTACGGGATGAGAAGAGCTCAGCCGGGTGGAAGGTAAACATGACTTCAATACAATCAATCTTTAAAGGCAATCACTGCTAACACTGTCTGGAGTTTTGTTCCAAATCAAAAAAAGGAAATCCATAGAAAGGCAAAATAGACATGGCGTGTATGCAACCAGTGCCAGGGCAGCGGTTCAAGGGCCACATCGTTCTACTGCACTAGACACCTTGGCAATCATCCGCACAGCCCTCAGTTTTGATAGCGTCCACACAGCGTCCCACAGCCAGCGGAGCGCTGCATGGACCACGGCTATGTCTACCTCCACTTCCTCTTATGCCAAAAGGGGTTCCTGTCACTGAGGGGTTGTGTGGACGACACTGAAAACAGTACCTGAGAGGCTGGGATGCTACTCAACAATAGCGTACCTGCCTGAGCTCCCAGGTTCCCTCATCAGTCCTGCAAAAAATAAAACAATGTCAGGGTGGGGAGGCAGTGTTATCAGTAGCCGTTCACAGTGGTGAGGTTTCCTATGAGAAACTCTTAGGTGAATACGGGCCATTCTCGAGTGCACTTTCCAATAAGAAATTTTTTAAATCCCAAAGATGTCTCTACACACAGAAAGCCAGTTGTACCTTTGAGCCAAACCATTCAGAATATTATCTCGTAAGGATGAAATGCATGTAGCCTATAGTAGTCACACGCATATACGAGGTATGGTCACAAATACCCTGAATGTTTAAATTTTTTAAAATATATTACAGTAAGACACATTGCTATGAATTGCCTCAAAATCCTTCCTCTGGCTTCAAACACACTCATCCCATGGTTCTTACCACTTTCTGCAGCAGCTTGGAGTCCTCTCTCCTGAGTGTCTTTAGTTGTGCTGTCCTGGCTCCCTTCGTGTCTGAAATCCATTCAAAACATTTCTCTTTCATGGTATTTTGATTTTGAGGAAGAGCCAGGAGTCACCTTGGATAACTGCAAGGGTTCCAGATGCTGTGAATAAGGTGGATGAGGACACAGCATCATGTTTTTATTTGACAGAAATTGCCATAAATGTTTTAAGTCTATTCAGGTCAATAAGACAGCCTCGGAGACACTCATGACAGAGAGCTTCCAAAGCTGTCTCAGAAAGTGGTGAGAATGGTGGGTAAGTGTGTTAGAAGCGGGGGAGGGGGGTGTTGTGAAGGGGTTCATGATAATGTGTCTCTTACTGTAATGAAATTTTTTATTTAAACACACACCATATTTTTGAAGTGCTCCCAAATGAAGTCACAGCTTGAGGTCTGCATTATAAACAAGCAGGGATAATCTCAGAGACGTGCTGAGGAGGGGACTCCCAACCCATGGGTGAGGTGGGGAGATCAGGGCTGCGGAGTGCACCTCCATGCTGGAGCTCAGCCAGGACGCCTACCTGGCTGACACAGGCAAACTGACCAGATGTGCGTGGCGAAGGTTTTACCTTGGCCAACATTTCCCAAGATAATCTCCCCATCCGCTGTAGGGTCGTTACATTCAAACATTAAAAAGAACCCTAGATGGTTGAGAGTTAAAGGAACAAGCCCTAAGAGATCAGTTAATTCGGTCCCTCACTCGGCAGTGAGAGATTAACTGACTTCCCCACATAGTGAAGCCAGTTATGAGCAAAGCCGGGGTGAGCTGAGAAGTCTCTTAATTTCCAAGCCAGTGTTTATTCCATAACTGGCTTATTTGTACAGAGTCCTGGGGTACTCGTTAGTCCTCCAAAGTAACTCAAGACATGTGTGAATTGGGGAATAATTTTAAAATTTTTAAATTCACTCCTATGAGTGATGTCATACAAGTACTTAAGGACCTCAGAGATGGGGCCGGTTTTGTTATTAGCAGGGGTGGTTTAACCTGCTTCGCGTGCGGGCTCCTCTCCCAACAGGGGGCTCACTCACAGGCTCCAGCCTCTGCCTGCCCCGCTGTCTCAGACGCACTGCTTCCCACATTTGCTGTTAGATGTTTTTGCATATTGAAATAAGCTCCAGCTGCCAAAACTTTAAAAATTAATACCGTTGTTCTCAGCCGAGGAACCTGATGCTATATTGTTTTTAAATTTTAATGTACAGGGAATTTGAGGGCCTAAAGGATCCAAAACCCCACCGCAGATATACAAGTAGGTTGCTCTAAGAGTGGCTTCCTCCTCCATGCTCCTCCCAGCGCCTCTGTTAGGCACCCGCAGCTCTCACTGAGGTCAGCACTCACTGAGGTCCATGCTGGAGCAAGAAGCCCAGACTGAGGACTCCAGGTGGTTGGCAGAACCCCTCCCCACAGTGTCAGCGTTGTGGCGTGACCTAAGCTGAGCCTCTGCACCTCTCCTGGTAATAATCTCTTCCTTTTTCACAAGTTGGGTTGTGCATATTTGTCCTACAGAATTGTGCTGTTCATTTTGGCATACAGGCGAGTCCACAGAGAATATTTGGATCATTTCCACCCGTGACAGCCTCTCCCTTTCTCCTTCTTTCCCTCTGAGCTGCTTCCCATCTCTCAAAGCCTACCTTCTGGTTTCCTGTCATCTCCCCTTTATTTAATTAATTGATTAATTTATTTTGTCAGCTCCACACAACTATTCTGCCTCCCTTAGGCAGGACAGAAATTAATTTCTGTAATATCTAATTTTTTAAAAGGATGCTGAGAGGATGAGGTGGCCCCATATCATCTTAACCCACTGATTTCACTCTGCTGATCTGATGGAGCTGTTACACAAAGCTGGGTGTGTCACCATGATCACTCTGGCTGGAATTAGCCCAGGTCTCCCAACTGGGATGCGGTAGGACTGGGGGCTGGCTGTGTGGACCTGGTTCCCCATGAGTGTCCCAGGGACAGTGAAGGGAGTCCTTGAGGGTTCTGTGGATTCAAGGGCCACACTGTGATGCCACTACATAAATTCCATGTGTGTGCACGTGTGTGTATGTGTGTGTGTGTGTGTGTGTGTGTGTATAACAGGTATATGTGAAAGAGAAATGATTTAAAAACTCAAAAGCTCACCTTAACCCAGAAACTTCTAAGTAAATAGAAGCCACCCACTTAGTAGACTATCTCTTCCCTCTAAGCCCTCTCTTCTTATGGTCCCTGAGGAAGCAGTCATTCCCCGGGCCCTCAGACGAAACTCCTATAGAACCTGGAATCATACAACATCCAAGTTCAAAAATACGTTTACTTTGCCAAACTGCATTCTCATTTGCTTTTTGCAAGGAAAAGTCTAAATTGCATGTTCACTCACATATAGAGTCATCAAGGACTCACAGTTCCACTGGGTGACCTCAAAAGCCCCCCATTTCTGAGAAACCAGCCCCACTCCACAGCCACAGCCCCTGCACACAGTGCTGAGAGGACAGTAGAGCTGCCCAGGATAATAATCTGTATCATGATGAGACTGGAAATTCTCAAAACACCATCTATGGTTTGCTCAATCACCTGCAGTGGAATCGTCTTAAATTACAAATTTCTAGAATCAACAACATATCGCTTTACTAATTCAAGAAAGCAAGTGGAATTTTAGTAACTTGATAAGTCAGGGGAGACGCTCCCTGGCTCAGGTAAGGCTGATTAATTATTCCCATCTCACTGATGCTGGAGATGAGCCCAAGCCCTGGAACGAGGAAGCTGCCGTTCCTCAGCAAAGCTCACAGGCAAAGCACTTCATCTCTTCACACAAACATTTCCAAACAGTGGCTTGGGACCTGAAATCGCTTAGAAGATGTATGTTGTTCCTGTGTTATTTTTTCTCTTCTTACTACTAAAAATTGAATCTCACAAATTGTCAGTTATTAAAAATGCAACAACAATAAAGTCTGCTAAAGAAGGTAGAGGAATTTTTCATGGCTTATTCGATAGCCACCAAAAGTCAGTTCATAGAGAGGAAATCTTCACGGATGTTCTTATTTTGAATATGCTGGTTTAGCCTAGTAATTATGGTAGCTTTTATTATTTCACTACATGTCATTCTTTGAGATATTTTGGCACATTATTTTATGATTTCCATATTACTTTCAATGTGAATAAAATTCTAACATTCTCAGCCAGAAGCTATGCTTCTTAATTTAAATTAATTTCTGACTGTTACATTAAGACATAATATTTATGCATATTAATGGAATACCGTGTTATGTTTTGGTATTGGTATACATTACATAATGTTGGCTGGAACATAGCTCAGTGGCACAGTGCCTGTCTGGCAAGTGCAAGGTCCTGAGTTTGATTCCCGGTACTAGAAATAAAAAACAAACAAACATTGCATAATGTTGACCAAGCTAAACTTACTGACCTGCCAAAGATTTATCATTCTTTAAAATGAAAACTTTGGATACCCTTCCTCTTCACTTCCCGTACACAGGCTCATGGTCGTCACGCGTGGTGCCCCACGTGGACAGCACAGGGAACCTCATGCTCCTGGTTGCAACTCTAGCCATGACCAGCTTTCCCCTTCCTCCCTGAGCCCCTTCTGTCATTCACAGTGGAGTGGTAATTTAATTAATTTGAGTCAGAGTGCCAAACAACTGTTCTTTATATCCAAATCGAAGATTTTATTCCCAAGAAAAGTTTTCGGTCTCTATTAAAGCCAAGACTGTACCTTTATGAAACTGTTGGCGTAGGTATGAGTTCCCTTCTCGTCACGGGAACCACATATTCCTGTCTCTTACTTGGTGTCTAGTGTTCCTGAGATGCCTATAAAAACTGAAACCATTCCTTCCCTGAGAAGACCTGGTTGTCTCAAAGTCTCTGCTTAGTTTAGAGAGAAGTAGATTTTGTTTCAAAATAGTTCATCTGCATAGCTATGTGGCCAGAAGAAACTGTTTTGGTGGAACTAACAATGTGATATCATGAAAAATATTATTTCCTCTCAAAACCTTCATCTGTATAATGTCACCACAAAGCAGTGATTGCAGGGAACCTTGTTGGTCTCTTCTTGTACCCCAGAGAGAAGTGGCAGTGGGTATGAGGAAAATAAAGACAAGAGACAAGAGCTGGGTCAGGTGGAGTTACCTCTTACTTGATAGGCAAGAGGACTGACTTGGACAATAGGGGTGTTTATTTTATACTCTTGCAAAGTTAGTGTCAGGAGAGACAATGTTGCCTAGCAACTAACAACTGTAATTGTGCAGGTAGTATGCCTTTTTCAATACTGAGGTAGCTTGACTGCCTGAGGCACTCTGGCTCTGTCCTGCCCTCACACCTGACCAATATCCAGCTCCAGGGGCTCCCCACAAGTGGTTACTGAGTAGCCCCTCAGTGCTACTAAAGTGCTTCCTGTGCCTGGTCTTAGCCTCCATTCCAATAGCCTAGGCTGTTTAGAAGGCAGTACTTGATTTGGACCACATTCCTCCAGGGTTGCTGCCTCCATACTGAAGCTGGGAACAGCCGAGCACCCTTCTTAGGTGGAGGTTCTACAACTTGCCTGTGGCTTGTGGAGGTTCTGCAACTTGCCTGTGGCTTCTCAACGAGGACATTCATTTCATCCTTCCAAGTAACATCACCAAAGGAAATGCCCAGGCACTTGCTGCCTGCCTTAAAGAGCAAATTGGTCTCTAAAGTCTCTTTAAAGAACACTGTGACGTTCATAATCCTCTCACTACCTGCCATGAGACGGATGAATAGACGTGGACCAACTTCCAACCCCAAAATCACAACATAAACAAAAATAGAAACACAAAAATCACAACATGAACTTTCAAGATAGGATTATCATTAGAGTTAAACGCACCTGCACCACAATGCCCACCCATAGGCATTCGCCCTAGTGAAATGATAACCATAACTGTACCACATGATTCCATTTTCCCATTGTGGAAAAGATAAAGGCACAGGGACATACCAGTGTATCCCGGGATGGGA